GCATAACTTGCATGAAACACTAAATTATCTTTAATGATACTGTTGTCTTCGCAGAGCATGCATCAATCTTGTGTGATTAAATAATTAACATTTGGTTTTCCTATTAAGTACTGTAGTTATGCATTATTTAATCTTTTCACCTGTATCTATAATGTGCTTTAGAAGATTAATTGACTTTCCAAATTTTTAGATCTTGCCATTCTAGAATACAGATACCCACATACATTCGTGAGCATGCACAAATGACTTAAGTGTCCTTAAGTCTAACACAGTAGTAGATGCCATAGAAATTTTAGGGGGGAAAGGTGTATGTATATAGGTCATAGTTCCTGTTGTACTAACATTTACCTAACTCGGTGATAAACTACAGTCCTTAGGCTACATTTAGCCCTCTGTTTAATAAAGTCTTATTTGAACACAGCAACACCTGTTCATTCAACTATAGCTTTATGGCCGTCTTTGTGCTACAGTAGTAGAATTAAGTAGTTAGTGTGGAGAGCATAAGGCCTGCAAAAGTCAAATTATCTACCACTTGACTTTTCACAGAGAAAGCATGCCAAGCACTGGTTTAGCTAGAGAGACTAGTGGATAGTATTATTAAAACATATAAGAAAATGTAGCAAATTAGAAAATATGACAGCAGACAGTGAATTGTCTAATTGACTTCTAAAGTCAGTGTAATGTTTAGTGATGGAAGAAATCATTCGCTGGCTTCAGTATAAAATGTTCTGTGGAGGAAAGTGAAGTGGATCATAAAGAAAGATTAATGTAAAAGTAGCAGTGATGGAGATCTAAGTGAAGCAAAGTACACAGCATGGAGGTGGAAAAGGACAAACTGTAGATATTCAGAAAACAATGGAATACTAATTCTAGCATGTACGTGTGTATTCTACAGAAGAAAAGTGGTAGATAAGACTGGAAAATAGGTTGGTATCTTAGAAAAAGAGGTTAGTACGTTGGGGGTAGTACCATGGAGTAACAGTTACATAGCCATTAGCAAATGTTCAGACGTGAGGAAATAAAACTTTATGTTGGAAGAGGAGAAGTAAAAAAGGGAAAAAATACATATTGTGGATAATTTGTGAACTACTTGACAAATGATTAAATATGACAGTGAAAGAGAAGTGAAAAAAAGCTTTGAAGTTTAAATTCTGTGTATAAAAGATAGATGACTATGTTAACAAAAATAAATAGAGGGTGGGTCAGAATGAAGAATTGGAAGGTGAATGATAGTAGCAGGTAGACCCGGTTAGATGGTGCTGAGCAGCCTTGGGGGAAAAGGTAGGTGATAAAACAGAAACTTTGTAATGTGAAAACTGTTATCCAAAGCAGACCTATGACCAACTTTGTTTTTTAGAAAGATAACTTTTGCAATGGGGAGAGGTTAGATATTAAGAGATCAGTTGTGTTAGTGTAACATCCATGAAGGAGACAGAGAAAACCTAAATTGAGCCATTGACAATGAATTAGAGAGAATATTGTTCAGGGTTATAAGGCAGAACCTTAAATTCTTTGTGAATGAACTTTCTCTTCTCTGCATAATATTGTACTCAAAAGATGAGGACTACTACAGCTATCTTTAAGATTTTGTGTTTGGCCAATTTGATTTTAGATAATATGAACCATCAGTGAACTCAATCTGCACAACTATTTTGCATTTCATCAGTTAAGACTACATATAGCATTATATTGACTAGTCAGCTTTTCTGACCTCTTAATACAAATATGGAATAGCCTTGGTCTTGTAAGAGTTATGGCCTTTATATTGATTGATATTAGGTTTTGCAATAGCATCTCCTATAAAATAATTAATTGCTATCTAATCATAAAAGAAAGTAAACAATAATATATTTATTATATTTTTATATATTTAATATACTTAAGAAGAATAATAATAAATTTTAAGGCTTTGTGGTACATATGGTCTTTACTGAAACTTTCTATTTGACTATTATAGTATGACAGAAACCATAGATAATATGTACACTAATACTTAGGGCAGCTTGTGGGTTGCGACCCACAGGAACTGTATTTAAGGGCCGTGGCATTAGGAACCACTGGCTTAGGGCCATGTTTCAATAGAACTTTGTTTACAAAAACAGTGGATAAGTTTTATCTCTAGAGTCATCATCTGCTAACCCCTGCATTATGCTAAAATATGAGTATTTTGGCCACCAACTCGGGAATGGATTAACAAACTGTGGTATATGTATACCATGGAATACTATTTAGCCATTAAAAAGATGGAGACTTTACATCTTCTGTTTTAACCTGGATGAAGGTGGAACACATTCTTCTTAGTAAAGCATCACAAGAATAGAGAAGCAAGAATCCAGTGTACTCAATTCTAATATGAAGGCAGTAGAGACACCTCATAAGGGTGGGACACAGTTATAAGAGGGACTTTACCTAACAGCTGTAGTGTAACCTAGTTCTTTGTACCCTCAATGAATCCCAAACAATAAAAAAAAAAAATTAGTATTATAAAACAAACTCCTTAATTGGGTAATTAGAATAGCTAACTGTGCTTGGTTTAAAAAAAAAAAAAAAAAAAACTTCTGAAAGATTTACCAATATTATTTCAAAGGGGAAGAGATGAAAAGTAAGAATGCTTTGTGAATTTTCTATGCTGTGATGCACCAAATATTAAGAATTATACATTTTGGTATTAGTATTAATGCAGATGTTGGGCTACAAAGTCATGTAATTTTTGACTTTAGTATATATGTAGAAATTTAATATCTTTGCTTTAAAATGTATTTTATCACAATTATAGGGTATTGAGAAGTGCTATTACGTTCTGACCTGAAAAATAATGATGTTCAAAGTGAAATCCAAGTATCTAACGTTAGACTGTCATGGATTATGCTTTTAACTTTTCTGAGAAATAGCATTTTGTATGTCACTGCTTTTGAACAAATTTCTCCTCCATCTTCCTTCTCTCTTTTACTTATCTTTCCTTTTTCTGTTGTTTTTTCCTTCTTGCACATTCTCTTCTTTTTTTCCCAAGTGTGCAAAATCTTTCTTTTTCTACCTAGCACTCTGTGAGCCTGCTTCAAGGTATCTGAGAGTTCTCTAGGACTTCTTCACTTCTCCTCCTCTCCTGCCACACCTTTCTGACTTCATAACTGTCACACCTACTCTCTTGTTTCTCCTTAGGAACTCTAATTCCTGTGTAGATTAATTTGAAAGATAAGAAAGAACAAACTATGTCATGCTTACTCTGTATGACACAAAGAATTGCACCCCCCAACTTCTAGAACTATAGCTGTCCATTCATTTCTAACATTTGTTGTTCGTAATTCATTTTCATAAGAGAATGAGTTTTTTCCTGAGTCTTTTGTTTTCTTTTATGTATTTATCCTTTTTGACAAATGCAAAGATGTGCATGTGCATTTTATTATCTTAACGTGAGGCATGCTAAAGATTGCCAAAAGACACACTGAGTATTTATCCAATTCAGTTAATTGATCATATGCTCTACGATCTTAATGTAGCTTTTCATCTTTACATAGATTTTCATTCTACATGCTTCAAAACCCTACAGGACTGATCATAACTCCTGGAGGGGAAGAGAAATACTTTTCCATTGTCCTACGCTCACAGCCTGAGGTCTTCAAACAAAAGACAGCTTAAAAAGAGAAGCACACAAATTTATTTAATAACAAGTGTTACATGACACAGAAGCCTTAATGAAAAAATAAAGACCAAAGGAAATAGTTAAAACCTACATATTTTTACACCAGGTTTGAAGAAGAATGGGCAATTGTGGAAAAATATATGGGACAAGGGAGTTAAGATCTAATGATAATAAATTTGGGGAAACTTAGCGAGGCCTCTTGTTCAGATTCTTTCCTGTGTCTCTGTGTCTTCAGAGATAAAGGTGTTTCTTTGCTCTGGGTTTAGAGAGATCATCTCAACCCGAGAGTCATGATCTGCTTCCGAGGAAGGTTAGAAAATCCTTTTCAGGTTTTATGACCTGCCTCAGGAAAGAAGGATTGGGGGTAAGGTTAGAGAGACTACCTGCATCTGCCATTTTTCATTATATTAAGGTGACATATATTGGGGGGTAGCATGTCTGAACCCTTGCCTCTCTGAGCTATAGGTCTACCTATTAGGAAGATGCCACACATTAGTTAAAAACTAAGATTTTGCTAATGGGGTTAGAAGGTTTAATTATTTTCTGCCTTCAATTTACTAGCCCAGTTCTAAAGACTTTATTCTACTATACAGGCTTTATGCAAAAATAAGGTTAAAGATAATAGTGATCATTTGAAATTAAAATTCTATATAAAAGGCATGATGACAGGACAAGAAACACAAAAGAATGAGGCAATGGCATTAAACGGAAAAATATAATATTCTGCCCTAAAAGTGAATATATCATAATCACAGTGGAGTTTAGTATGTACCTACATGTGGAGCAAACTTCAGCCATAAAATTAGGTAATACAGAAAAAAATAGCAATAAAGAAATAGATAATTTAATAATAAAGGCAGACAGATATTTCTCCACATAGGCTTCTGATTGGAAAAAGAGTAAATGGTCTGAAGGAAGAGATCAATGTAGCAGCGCGTTCCTAGGGAAATCTTTAAGTGTGCTACGCTGGGGCAAGAAGGGAGTCTACACTGTAGGTTAGGAAAATCCACTGGACCCATGTCCATTGGGACACCCCAAGTATGAATTCAGTAATTATTCCTGATTGCTTCTCAGACTAAATCCTTTAGAAATATCTTTGTTTCTAAGGAAATAAGATGCATGCTATCCATCTTAGAGGGAATTGAGGGAGTATCTTAGTTATCTTTGAAGAAAAAGAAATGTTTTTATTAATGTAATTGCTGTGTATGATTATCTGTTATTGTCATATTAATCGCACTCCTAATGAGTGCTGTGTAGGAAACTTTACTTTGACTCATTAAGCGAATAACCCCTGTCAACCTCAGAGCTTCTCTACACATTCTTTCTTCTTCACTATTAATATTTCACTGTGTAATTACAGCTCCCAATCCTTGTGCGGCTAATGACGGCAAAGGCCCCTGCTCTCACATGTGTCTGATCAATCATAACAGGAGCGCTGCTTGTGCGTGCCCCCACTTGATGAAGCTTTCCTCAGACAAGAAGACCTGCTATGGTAAATTTCTTACAATTCTTACCTAAATCAGAACTGAATTCTCTTGAATTGTATTAGCATTCAGATTTTACTCAAAGCGAAGCAGAAGAGGGTTTTGACATCTTTAAAATTATTTTAGGTGGTGCTGTTTCTAGCCCCTATTGATGATTCCTCTGTATTGGGGGAGACTGACAAATTGTTCAAATATATGATACGTTGCACTTTACTATTTATTACCTTATTCATTTTTTCTTACTACTTTCTTATTTGGTGTGTTAGCAGAATTTATCTCTGCAAAACAGGAAGATTTGTAAGTGAAAGTGCATTATCAAAAAATGATGATGTAGGGAACCTGCATAACAGAGAGGTACTTAAACAGCTTTAATCTCCTCCTGCTCTTCTAAAGTCACTTTAGGATCATTTTGTAGGGGATTATCAACTTGAAATTCTTGAAGGGGGGAAAATGAAGTAAAATACATAAGTTGGAAAGATTTGTTAAAAAAAATTTAAGCAGTACGTTTGAACTAAAAATGATGGAAGTTATGAATGAAAATCTGTTTCTAGAATAATAATTATTTTTTGCAAAGCAATTACTTAATTTTAAGGGCAGGAAACTAAATGTTTTCACCCAAATTTAACTCCGGAATTTAGGTACACAAAGCTTTAATTTCACACATATCTTAACAATAGTAACTCCAAAGAGAACAGTAAGAGAATATCTGTTACTTCTATCTGTATTTTATCTGATATTTCACAAATGTAGTACAAGAAAGGTGCCTATGGAAGTAAAAATTATCCAGTGCCTCTCAATGTTAGTTACTACACATTTACAATTAAAGCATGCTGTAATTATTTAAAGCCTAATTTTAATATGGGGACATGACCAAGATTTTTTAAAGCAATGTTTAATTTCATCTTTTTCGATGACTGTATAAGGAAAAGATTCCTTCAACAAGCATTTGAAGCAATGCAATATTATTATAATTATATGCAAAGAACAAATGTGGCTTTGACATTTGTCGAGTTCATGTATCACTTATCAAGTTCAGGCTATGTATTATAGCAACTTGATTTGTAATTCTAAGATAAAATTGACTATTGAGAATTTCTTGGCATTTCTAGCTAAATAAAAACGATAATTTGATTCTAACTTAATTTATTTTTGTTTACTTAAATATCTTAATTTAGCATAAATAAATCATTTCTGTATTAATGTTTCCATTAAATCTTGATTCTGATTTTCTGGGGCTACAGTGTATTAAATCATCAACAAGTAACATTTTAGAAGTTTTAAACTATGTCAAGTTTGTCAACTTTATAAAAGGAAAACACTCAATTTCTGTTTCTTCTTTAGAAATGAAAAAATTTCTTCTTTATGCAAGGCGATCAGAAATACGAGGAGTGGATATTGACAATCCATATTTTAACTTTATCACGGCATTTACCGTCCCTGATATTGACGACGTTACTGTGATAGACTTTGACGCCTCTGAGGAACGTTTGTACTGGACGGATATTAAAACACAAACCATTAAACGGGCTTTTATTAATGGAACTGGCTTAGAAACTGTTATTTCAAGAGGTAAAAGATTTGCATATGCTACAACCTAGAAAGTGTTTGTTATTCAATTTGTCTCTTTTATATTCTTTCTCTGTTATTCAACTCTCTATGCTGTTAACTGAAAGTAGAAATTGATTAGAAATTTAATAATATGCTACATCCTTACCATTGTAGAATGATAAAATTACATTGTGCATAGCTGACTAGTAGCTAGAAATTTACATTCATGAGTTCAGAAAACTTCAGAATAGATCTTAAAATTTGCAAATTTCTAAATAAACAGATTTAAAGTTATATTTGCAGAAAGAAATGAGACATTGGAAGGGACTGTATTCCTACTCTGGCTTAAGCTTGACAACTTTCCTTCGCACATATTTTTATACAACCAGAGTGTACAAATAAGACAGAACAACTGTTCCTATCCATTTTCTGACCTAGCAGGTTGAATCACAAGTTCTCAGGAAATGCTGTTGAATTAGTCATTAAAAAAAAGTAACTTTTCCCAAAATAGAGACGCCCATATCAATGCATTACTTGAATGCTAAAATATGGTAGAATCTCCATAGCTGACCATCTCCCTATATTGACCTTAAGTTGACCTAATTTTCATAGACCAAACATGCACCACATGTATGCAATGGAAGTTCCTTATGTTGACCACCTCAGTATGTCAACCAATTTGTTATTTTTCTTTGTTTGGTCAACTTACTATATTTACAGTATTTACTTCTACATTTTACTGTATTTACATACAACTTCTGCTGTGTTCAATAGTAAATTATCCTAATATTTGCTTAAATTTTGGCTTACTGTGATTTTGGGGTCAGTTATTATTTTATTGAATGAGTCTTCATTGAGCACCTACTGTTTGCCATGACTGCAAAATCAAAGACACAATTTCTCTTCAACTTTATGCTCCTTTAACTTGATAGAAGGATTTGAGGTAGAGGAAAGTGTAATCAGTAATCCATACCAAACCTTTTCTTAAAGTACTGTGTTTAAGTACTGAAAATTTTAAATCAAACCATATTTTCACAATGTTTACTCTCTATTAAAAGCAGCACAAAGTGTAGTTTTTACATTCACTGTCTTTTTTTAAATGAGTTTTTCATGTATAGTATTAGAAGGCTAGCTTGAGTACCACTAGTGGTAGATCTGAGAATACATGACCACTGAAGTACTCTTGTATTTAGGCTAGCTTTTTAACAATCTCAGATTAGTAAGTACTGTTAAAGCAGTTTATTGAATGAATTGGCTGTAAGCTTATTCAAATATTGATTTCACATGTGTCAAATGAGAAGAGATTTTTTTAAAAAGCTTATGCAAACATTTCTTCTTTGTGTGGGATATTTTACATGAGCCAGTGTGTGTGAGGAGGTGGTTGTATAATCTTCATTAGACTGGATTACAAACAAAAATAATGCCTGATTAAATGTTGTAACTCTTGAAAGACGAGGTTGGGGGTATTAAGTGGCTCCCAAGATTGACAATCAGTTAGGTGGTCTCCCTTCATGAACTTTATCAAAGTCTATACTTTCCCATGAATATTTAATACTTTTCAAAAAGCTCTGTGAACAGCATAGAGTAAAAGATATTTATCTTTAAAAAATGGGGAGATAATTTTCTTTCTCTAATTTGAACTGGTATGTATATTAGTAATTTGGTAAATTTATCTTTGAGAAAATCACAAAGATTTATTTCTATTTAGCAGACTTTAACTCTGTTATAACTCTTGAGAGTGGGAAAAACTGAGATGGAGGAACATGAACAGATTATAGAGACATAAAAGAGAGCAAAAATATAAAAGTAATTAAGAATTAATTGGACATGAGAAATGAGGAATAGATCTTGTAAAGGATAATTCCTCCATTTCTGGCTTACCTCACAAGTTGAATGATGTTGCCTTTTCATTCTTTCAGAGTAGAACATTGTTGGGGCCAATGTATTTTTCCACTAATAGAAAAACTTTAGGTGAACTTTTGACACTTTAGGTTCGGAATTCATCAGTGGATCTCAAATTCCACCAGTAATTGCACTTTATTTTATCCTTTCATGATTTAGATATTCTGGAGACCTTTTCTGACGTCTTACTCTGTTGACATCTACTTTTTCTCTCTCCACTGGAATTTTGCTTGAGAGATTTTAATTTCTTGTTTTCCTTAGCCTAAATATAATATGAAACCAGCTCCAGAAATTGGACCCCAAATATATCTATTATTCCATGTGTCTCCTTTCCTTTTCCTCCCAAGCCTACCATTTTCTGAGGAAAACATGGAGGCTCTTCAGTCCAAGCTTTCATGAAGACACCTAGAAATAGTCTCATATCATGAAGCACTAATCTGTTCTTAATTTATATGTTGCCCACATGAACAGGTATAATTCATTATAAAGATAAATACTAAAACAAGGCTACAGGCACATTCACTGTATAATTTAACAACTATACACATGTTATATCTCTCGCAAAGAGCAAAGGTTCCTAAGAAAAAAGCAACTGCCTCAGTGTGTGGCTAAACAAGTTCCTGATAGTGGATTGCACCTTCACTCTCTGGGGCACTTGAGTCACTGCTTTGTCCAAATATCTTTCAGTTATTTTTGTAATGAGATGAGTAATATTGGCTGTCATTAAGTAATGTTACTATTATCTCCTTTAATCTTTGCAAACCTATTGTGAAAACATCTTCATGCTGCAGATGAGAACACTTAAGATCAAAGAAGCTAAAATTCTCAAAGCCAAAGTGAAGAAATGATAAAGACCAATTCACACTCAGGATTTTATCTTCAGAGCTCCTATCATCTTTTATTACCTGTAGTAAGAAGGTTTATCCCAAGTTGCTATTGATTAATTGTATCAACCCTGCAAACCTGCAGCATTGTGGGTTTAAGATAGTTCCACAAGCTCAATTGCCCGTCCTGAGTACTCGTGTGTTGTCCAGAATTATATTTATTATGTAATAGATTAGCTAAAAAACCCTCTAAAGCACAGCTTTCATTTAACATAGTTAGGAAAAAAAAAGACATAAATATACCTTTAAATCCACAGTATAAGCCAGTATCTGGGTGAAGTATACACAGCTCACCAAGAAAGTTTTGAGACAGACTATTTCACTTCCAAAAAATGTTGACATTGTCCTTTCTGATTCACCCGACTAAGTTTCAACTTGCTCTGATTATCCATGTTGCCAAGAGGACTTCATTTGTTTTCATCCACACAGATTTTATGTTTCTTGATTTTTGTGTACCTCAAAACTGTCACGATGACCCATGTATGTGTTATTTCACCTCCTTGTCAATGATTTGATTGTTTATTCTGAAATACAAGCAAAAACTTTCAGAGACATGTTGGCACCTTTGTAAGCTTCCACACTGTCAATTAAATTTCCTTTTTTACTGGAAAACATTATTCATGTGCCTGATAATTTAAGGAAAGGTAAAAACTGTTCATCTTTGAAAAGGTAATGACGTTAGGCAAGTACGATTGCTTGAGCAAAATATCCTTTTAGTATTAGAGTAATTTACTAATTGGATGAACTGTATTGTTAGGTTAGGTAGAAAGCTACAATGAATAAAAGAAAGAATATAAATTAAAAGTATTACTATTTATTCTTTAAAGAATACCCTTATGTGGTAAGAATTAATCATAAAATCACAAGCTTTACTTTGTAACTATAAAGATAGAGCTCATTTTAAACTCAGACCTTTTGATCACTTTACTGCTATATAAAATGCAATTTTTTTTTTTGGAGACAGAGTCTCAATATGTCGCCCTTGGTAGAGAGATGTGGCGTCACAGCTCACGGCAACCTCAAACTCTTGGGTTAAGTGATTCTCTTGCCTCAGCGTCCCAAGTAGCTAGGACTACAAGTGACCACCACAACACCCAGCTATTTTTGTTGTTGTTGTTGCAGTTATCATTGTTGTTTACCTGGCCCAGGGTGGGTTTGAACCTGCCAGCCTTCGTGTATTTGGTTAACACTGTAACCACTGTGCTATGGGGGCTGAGCCTAAAATGCAATTCTTAATCATGTCAATCTAATTGAAACTATTTGGGAGTAGATTTCTATTCATTTTTTAAATCCTATCCATTGACAACAATCATTTTTGTCAATGAATATTAAAGATTCATTCCCTCTATTTTGTAAGAGATGGTACTTTATTGTACCCAGTAGTAAAAATGCTTAGAAAATAAAAACTGCTCTGAAAATTCATCCAGAGAGAATGAAAGAAATGGAAACAGATCAGTAATAACAGTGAAATGTAGATTTTGGAAACAGACTTTGAATTAAAGTACAAAGTTTAGCTGGGAAACATCTGTTGTTTTGTAATTTTTGAATGGAATTTTAAATTTTCATTTTCACCCAGCGGGCCTTTTGGTGGAAGAATATGAACATCTGTAATTTAAAAAAAAACATGAAGCAAGATGGAAAAAAAAAAAAAAGTAGGAACTATTTTTATAAATGCCATCCCATTGAGAACTATGTACCTATAATAAAAATTACTAAATGAGCCATGCTTTCTATGTTTATCCTTTGTCTTTTAGTTATAAAGATAAATATGCCTTTATTTTTCTCCATGGGCTTTAAAAAAATGCATACCATATTCTTGGTTCTATATCCGGAACACTGGAACGTAGGAGTGGCAGTTATTCAAAGATAAATAAGTTCAAGCTTCAAGGAACTTCATATTTGATGGAAAAAAGTGAGATGTGAACAACTAATTAAAATACAAAGCTAAATGAAATAAGCAGTTTAACAAGGATGCAAGCCTTTTCTCAGAAAATGAGAGCAAGAAATACTGCATTTCTATGTGAGATTATCAAAGTGCTCGCTGAGGAGGTGATAGCCAAACCTGGCCTTGGGAGAAAAAATAATAAATCCAGGGTGAGGAATCAGTAGGTGCAAAGGATTTAATACTTCAAACATAAAGAGCAGCAAGTAGTGAGGGGGTAGCTGGACCTTGTAGAAAGGTAAACTAGAAGGTTAATATGAGGACGGATCACAGACAGCCTTATAGCAAGATGT